TAGTGGTGGGCGTAGCCCAAGTGTGTCAGCAGCATGGGCGGGGCAGCTTATGTTAATGTAGCCCAAGTGTGTCAGCAGCATGGGCGGGGCAGCTTATGTTAATGTAGCCCAAGTGTGTCAGCAGCATGGGCGGGGCAGCTAATGTTAATGCAGGCCGGCAGTGGGTCTCCACCAAAAGGGCCTCCAGGCAATCATTCCACACACCCACACTGCTGACAGTGGAGGCTGACAAGAAAACACAAATCAAGTCATGACCCAAAGTGGTTGATGACATCTTTCCAATGATTGCTGAGTCTATAACCGTCCTTTCGGATGGAATTGTGTCTGTATATATGGATGGCTTCATGAACAAATTTTTGTTGATAGCCAGTAGGCTTGCAAAAAACCATCGTCTTAGAAAAATCAATTTCGTGTGAGCCAGCCGCATTAAAATATATATTTTTAATTCACTTTATTTACTATTTTTATATCTAAGTGACTTTAACGAAATAACCAAATAATATGAATTCCTGCAGTCACGAAATTTTTAAGTCAAAATGTATCCCTAAAGTTTAGTTGAAATGCCACGTGCACTGGTTGGGATCCATTGAATGGCAACCTTCCATGAAGGCCAGGGTCAGTGGCTGTAGCCGAGCTCTGGTTCTCATTGACATGAATTGGCAGCCGTGAGGCGGCCCAGAGGTCAGAGCCCACTCAGTCACGGCTCGAATCCCTGCCAGGAAGTCCAATGGAAAACAATCATCCACCCCATAATAGATCAAGAGAGTAACATGCGAGACAAATAAAAAAAGTAAAGTTCTTGACCAACGGCTGTCACTGTCGGTCGGTCGTATCGGTCATGGCGAGTGCTGCGGGCTGCTCATCAACCATGAATAAGTTGTAGACAGTTCCCCTCCTGCTTTGTCCCTCATAGACCTACAGTGAAAGAAACAAGTATTTGATCCCCTGCTGATTTTGTACGTTTGCCCACTGACGAAGAAATGATCAGTCTATAATTTTAATGGTAAGTTTGTTTGAACAGTGAGAGACAGAAAAACAACAACAAAATCCAGAAAAAAAGCATGTCAAAAATGTTGTAAATTGATTTGCATTTTAATGAGGTAAATAAGAATTTGACCCCTCGGCAAAACATGACTTAGTACTTGGTGGCAAAACCCTTGTTGGCAATCACAGAGGTCAGACGTTTCCAGTAGTTAGCCACCAGGTTTGCACCCATCTCAGGAGGGATTTTGTCCCACTCCTCTTTGCAGATCTTCTCCAAGTCATTAAGGTTTCGAGGCTGACGTTTGGCAACTCGAACCTTCAGCTCCCTCCACAGATTTTCTATGGGATTAAGGTCTGGAGACTGGCTAGGCCACTCCAGGACCTTAATGTGCTTCTTCTTGAGCCACTCCTTTGTTGCCTTGGCCGTGTGTTTTGGGTCATTGTCATGCTGGAATACCCATCCACGACTCAGTTTCAATGCCCTGGCTGAGGGAAGAAGGTTCTCACCCAAGATTTGATGGTACATGGCCCCGTCCATCGTCCCTTTGATGCGGTGAAGTTGTCCTGTCCCCTTATCAGAAAAACACCCCCAAAGCATAATGTTTCCACCTCCATGTTTGATGGTAGGGATGGTGTTCTTGGGGTCATAGGCAGCATTCCTCCTCCTCCAAACACGGCGAGTTGAGTTGATGCCAAAGAGCTCCATTTTGGTCTCATCTGACCATAACACTTTCACCCAGTTGTCTTTTGAATCATTCAGATGTTCATTGGCAAACTTCAGACGGGCATGTATATGTGCTTTCTTGAGCAGGCGCAATTATCTCAAGGCAGCTGCCTTGGCAGCTGCCTTGGCAGCTGCCTTGAGATAATTGACAAGATCCTCCCGTGTAGTTCTGTGCTGATTCCTCACCGTTCTCATGATCATTGCAACTCCACGAGGTGAGATCTTGCATGGAGCCCCAGGCCAAGGGAGATTGACAGTTCTTGTGTTTCTTCCATTTGCGAATAATCGCACCAACTGTTATCACCTTCTCACCAAGCTGCTTGGCAATGGTCTTGGACATGTTTGTTTTTATTGTAGTACGGAGTTAGACTGATGGCCTTAATCTAAGTTTTTGTGGTTGTTGTTGTTTGACTTGCATCCCACTGAGATTTTTTGCACACAGCGTTGGTGTACGGTGCTTTTTTCAGGAATATTTTGCTGTTTTTTTTCATGGATTTTCTGTTTGCACAGTCACACATAGTCACTTTAAGATGTTTTTCTTGTTTGTGTTTTTGTTTTGTTTATTTGTTGTGGTTGCACCCGATTCAAGAGCCGAATGGCTGACAGGGCTATACCAAAATAAAGAAACTGAAACTTATACAGCTGAGATTAGGAGCACTCCCTTTAAGAGTGTGCTCCTAATCTCAGCTCGTTACCTGTATAAAAGACACCTGGGAGCCAACAATCTTTCTGATTGAGAGGGGGTCAAATCGTTATTTCCCTCATCAAAATGCAAATCAATTTATAAAATTTTTGACATGCGTTTTTCTGGATTTTTTGGTTGTCATTCTGTCTCTCACTGTTCAAATAAACCTAACATTAAAATTATAGACTGATCATTTCTTTGTCAGTGGGCAAACGTACAAAATCAGCAGGGGATCAAATACTTTTTTCCCTCACTGTACCTCTGAGATCACGACCCTGACTATGCCTGCTGCTGTGTATTTGGAGTTTGCGGTGCTCTCTCCCCGTGGCCGCGTAAATTTTTTTCTCTCCAGGCGCTCGGTGGTTTCCCTCCACATTTAGAATCATCATGGGTTTAAATAGTTCAGATTATTTGGCCGCTATCATTTTCCACACGATGAGCTACTTGCTTGAACTGTCATTTATGGCCAGATCGCTTTTGAAAAAATAATCAAAAGAGGTCATTGGGCTTTATCTGGTAAAGTAAAAATAACGTAGTTTATTTGAATTTTTGGGAGTGATTTGCCGACCGTTCCAACACTTAGCACTCGTATCGTGTTGTTGTATTGTTTGTTGTTCTAACGTTACGACCCGCCCCGACTGGACGTCTGTGAAAAAGAGCTTTATAGCTCATCGGATTCCTCCTGCAGTAGATTGTTCTCGAGCATCCCCCCCCCTCCCCCCCCGTCTTTTTGGTTTCGTCCAGGAACCAGAGACGTAACTCCACCCCCTCCCCTCTTAGGTGACGTCACTATGTAATGACGTCACAAGACGCGTGCCGAAGACGCTCGAGGCGAAACCTGCGGACGTCACAACCTGCTCTACGTCGCGACGGGCGCGTCCCTGTGAAATGATGTCACGCTCGAATTTTTGCACAGCTATTCATGCCATCTGGAAATTGTTCATTAGGAAGCATTTTAAACATAACCCTTATCCACTCTGGGCTATTTGTGTCGTGAACAAGGGGCCATTGCCCGAAACGTCCCCAATTATTTTTTTTAAGGCCAATGTTATTGACGGACGTATTTCGTTTTATTTGGTACTGGAATGTTCGTTGCATGAGTCACAATGATTTTATTTTGAAATCTGAGAGCTGGATTTTAGCCATCCTAAATGAGGAACCAAGTTGAATGTGTTCCATGCCTCCAGTCATTACGTTACAAGGCTGAGACCAGCACGTCGCTACACTCAAGAACCAAGTTTAATCAGAAGCAGTGGCTGACACGCGGATCGAACCCAGTCTCAGGGGTGCTAGCTCGGTGTCTGAACCTCCGATCCACCCAGGTCACCTCGCAAAATATCAACATGAAAAATAATACATGTTTACAGCATGGAAGTGGAGTAATTTCCCCTGTTCTGACGGGAAGCGCTGCGATTGTTCATAGACCCGGCAGCCTTGGTCACAGGACGCTGCAGCATCGGTCACACATTACCACAGCGACGGCAAACTTGTTATGGATATTGGTCGCGAAAGCCGAAGTGTTAAACTGGGGTTAAGTCGGAGACCCCTGGCGATGCAGCAGCCCCCCGTGGCATCGTAATATTCTGAAGTCGCTCCCTCGTGAGACTCGAGGATGCGAAGTGGTTCCAGGACAAAGAGTCCTCGTCCCATGTTGGGCTCTCCAGGAGCACAACTGGGACGACATTTAGTGATCAAATCTCGAGCGTGCAGTTTTCATTGCTTAAAAAAAGCTGTCAAAGGCTCGTGACTCCTGGCTGCATTTTCCATGTGAAAAACCGCACACGCAGTGATCCGGACAATGCTGTCAAACCCAGGCGACAGAAAACAACACAATCACGTGACATGAGTTACTTTGAAAACATTATTCTGAGAGAGCACGCAAGGGGTTGTAAATCCAAACGTAACCACTTTACAAATGTTAATAAACCTTTACAAACCTTTACGTTCACGTCCCACCACTTACAAAGTAGTATCGGCCACATGGTCTTTTGGTAGTGCATTTCAGCAGTATTGGGTCAAAAAAGCAAACTCTGGCCCGGTTTTGACAGCATCTCATCAGCAAAATTTGGTTTGCCTGAACCAATGCTAAACTGCTGGATGTTCATAGACAAAGCACTCTCTCCAAAGGTTGATCGGTGGCCCACATCAAATTCACGTGTAGGTGGCAGCCGGGAAACTCGGGGATCACATTCCTGAGCCGTCACTGAAGAGAACCTGGGTTCAAATCCAGGTACGAGCCACCTGTGATAAGACTGGGCTCTCAAGTGAAGCCAGTTGCTAGGCAACGGCCGAGTCACCAATAGCTGCAAAAAGAGAAATGTCATAATAAATTTGGTACATTTGTATAGCAGAGTGCGTGGGACAGTGCAGCAACGTTACGTGCGCAGATATGAAGTCACCTGAAAGGATCTAAGAGGTAGTTCTATTACATCACCTACTGTGGGCTATTCTCTAAAATGGGCCGCTCTATGTGCGAGATGCGGTGGCATTGTGACGCATTATGAATCCCCAAAATTTTATGCTGCACATTAACTGATCGGACGCGACCTTCCCTGAAGCAGACTGTGACCTCCGATCCCTTTTGAGAAACACATGGACACACGTCAATGCAGGTAACAGTGCATTTTATTACACAGTGACAAAAACTGAAATCACGAATTTCAAACTCAGTCGTGTCGTGTGGGCAGACCGAGACCTTAAGGCTTGGTGTAAACCGGCCTCTCGGAGGGTGAGTGCTGCACACCCTTCGTTACTGCATCACCTTCACACGGTCAATGTTACTGCAAAAAGACCTCGCCGATTCATACAAGGCTATGCTGTTCACCTTTGGCCGGTCAGCTAGGCTTGCTTTTTTTATACTTTACAACCAAATAACAATAACAACAAAAAAACAATAAAAATAGGCAGGCAAACGCATGAAGCATTAATTACTCTAAGATAATGTCACGTCTCAGCAAAGCAGAGTGAGGCTGGGGCTAAGGGCACGGCGTGGCCAGACTGTGACTACTCGGAATACAAACTGCCGTAGGCGGGCTCCTACACTAGGAAATAAATCTACCTGCCTGGGAACGAACTTGCCTAGCCGAGTTGGCACGTGTACTGCAGGTGTCCACATATTCCACCGAGCGCTCTGTGTAGAAATGCCCGGCTTAGACGACGGGGGGGGGGGGGGGGGGGGGGGGGGGGCGAGGTTGGGCTACGGATGTGCTTGCGTTACTCGGGATCAGTCAGCAGGGCCACGTTTACCGGCGGCGTGATTTCCACGCGACGAAATGCCAACCCAACTCGCTTCGGAAATTCATTCGGATCGTTGTGTCAAACGTCACCGTTGAGTCCTAAGAGGCAGCGGGCAAAATGTCTTTACGCCCAGAGGTGGGGCATCGAGCTCGATATGGTCACGGACGTCGCCGATTGGTCAAATCGATCAGGTCACGCCTTTCTGTGCGGCGCACGATGCCACGCAGGGCATTGCTGCGCAGTGGCTCTTTGAAGCTTCACGATGACGACTCTTGGAATACGGCTCACCCCGCGACTAGGACAGACGTGGCTCTGGCAACGACTCGACAACCACTCCACGGAACTCACGACCGAACTTTAAAGCCAAGGTTATAGCTCAAACCATTCATTCTGTTGTGGCCACTTCCTTTTGACTCATATGAAGTGGTCACTCCTGGTTTGAGTCACCGAAATGCACAGAGGGGGTCAGAGAATCGGAGGGGGTCGGCGAGGCGAGAGGTCACGTTATGAGGAAGCTGTGAAGGCATCACGTCTCTAGTGCGACGTTTCTCTGGTAGGCCACCCACTTCTAGTGTCCATCGCACAATAGGCATCAAAACAATATGACCCTCTATTCCATTACCCTGTAAATACACGGACAAATACACGCCGGGCTTGAGACGAGATAGTCATGAATGCAAAAGAAAAAAAAAAAACCCCTTCATTAAAAGACAAACTTCCGTATCAAAATGTCACAACTTCACGGTAAGCCGACGTGAAAGGCAGGCCACCAACACGGGGCAGCGTCGCACCACACCACGCGCCGCAGGGCACCGTGGGTGACACTGCTCGCACCTGGCTTAGGGAATCCCACAATCCTCGGCGAGTCCCCGGGGCTTGCCGTGCTCGGAGTGGAGCCAAAGCTGTCCGTGCTGTGGTGCCGCGCTAATACTGCGGAGCGGGCAAGTGGCGCTTCCAACACGGCACGGTGCGGACGCGGGGCGACGGTGGCACGGCGGAGGAGTGCGGCCGGAACGTGATTGGAACGATCGCACCGTTAAGCGATTTGAACCGGTGCCGGAAAAATACAAACACACGAGAGACCAACTTTGGCAGCAATATCTGTCTTTCCCCATCGCCCCCCCAATCGTAATCATAAAGCACATGTTCCAACATGCTTTGGAAAAGTTGTACGAGCACTCCCCGATTTTGAGGACCGTGCGATGAACCAGGCTCCCTTTGCCCGAGGTCCCTTGTGAAGACTCCATCCTTCAGTGTGGAGTCAAAGGACACTTAGGTTTACTTGGGCTACGGAATAATCGTGCCGGATGGTGAATTGTATTTCGCAGCAATGTGCCATTGCTGTTTCCAGGGATTTGTTCTGCCCGAGGCCCTGAAAAGCCACTGCTTCTGAGCAACTGCGGGAAATCCTCTCTAGCCGGGCCCAACACAGGAGGGAAACTCCCACCAACGTTCAGGTGAACGTTCAGGCACGGAAAGTCCACGCTCGTGACGACAAGCAGGGTGGTGTGGTAGGGGGCACACCGCAAGCGAGACCTTTTGACTCCAGCAAGGCGATCGCGGTCAGGCTCACCTCTCAACCTAACCACGCCTGTCCCCTCACCGTGGGGACAGGCGTGGTTAGGGGAGATGGTCGACGGTAACGTGGGCAGCTCAGTTTCAAATCCGACCTAGGGATCCACTGTTGTACGCAAAACTCTTCCCGCCACTCCCTCCCCTTTGTGAGTTCTACCTTCTCCCTGCTATATCGGAAACTAGAGCTATGGCGAGTGGTCGCATTCGATGATTAATCGGAGCATTTGAGATATTTCAATTTGAAAGGCGCTTTGTAAAATAGAGGTTATTGTTATATTATATTATGAATCATAAGGAAATCTGAATTCACAACTCTTTATGTGGTCGATTATTCAGGCACCTTTAATAATTGTGGCCTCCCCCACATCCTCCCTCGTGAAGGCAGGAAACCCCCTACGAGCCAAACCCAACGTGACGCGGATGATGACGACAGCATCACTGTCCAGTGAGCACACATGGCTACAAAAGCGAGGCTCCCCCCCCCCCCCCCCGACTAATTCGATATTATCTGTGTTCATCAAGTAAACAAACCAATAATTGTTAGGGAAATCGATTAGTTAAGTAAGTGGATATCCCAAGTGTAGCGCAAACATCTCGCTTGTTGAATCAAACAGTGGCGGGCCCCGACTTGTTTACGATATCCATATTCCCAGCTGCCGCGAGTGAGCTCCTCAAGCAATGGGGGTGATGAATTCTCAAATCAAGGCCAATAACAAGAATTAATCCTCATCCATAGGCAGGTCAGATGTGATACTCAGAATCGCTGCCTCTCCACGTGTACACACATAACGGTGTCTCTCCATCATCTCCAGCTGGGCCTAACAAAGGGCAGCAAAATTATAGAGTTATGGGGGTCAATTCCTGGCCATGGTGCTTCTAGCCAGGATGCCAGAGGGTTGGGTTATGGCCAGGCTAAGGTCAAAAGGTGGATTCTGGAGGCAAAGGAGTCTCTCTCGCTTGGTTAAAAGCTAAAATGCAATATAAGGAACGCAACTCTCCTCTCTCATATCCACACGCTTAGGCTGCCCGTAGCAGGATGTGCAACGCGATTTTGAAGTTTTGTTGACAGTAGAATTACGTTTCTGGCACGAAGGCCAAGACTTTCATCTTCCCAACTACAGCTCCCCCTCGTGACGTCACCGTGGCGAAGAGACCACACTTGTTGACGGAATGGTGGCCAAACGAGAGAACAGACGCCCGAGAGGATGGCAACCGCGGAGATGGAACGACGACATTTCGTGCTCACGAGACGGATTGTTCAATTTCAATACTGTTAGGGACGGCGATGGCAAGGGGAGCCCCCTCATCCAGCAGTAGGTAGGCCATGGACAATGATTATGTTGATAGATCAAATGGCAAGACTGACATTCAGCCTGCCTTGGGAGCTTTCTCCAGCTGCTCTTAAGACGTCGTCTGGATGGGTTGCTTTAGTTTGGCTCCGAGTCTAGGGGAATGGCGCCGAGTCGTACAGACGCTCAACGTGCTTACGAGTTGAGTCGGGCAGCTCACGAGGGACTCACCACCACGTCACAACGCTGAGGGTACTTCACTCCTGCTTTAGTTCTAAACAGTGCTACTCGCCTAACTAAAGCTCTAGTTCCGGATGAACACGAGTGCATCGTTACGCCACGTGATATTCACGGCCAATTCGTTTCTCCCTCCCCCGTTATTAATGGCCATTGCGTGGTTTGGAGAAGCGGGCACATTTTACCGTACGAGCTCCCACCTTTTTTTAATTAAGGCTGCTTTATGAAGAGAATCCTACCGGCTACTACTCCAATACAATAAGCGCTGGCAGTCCGAGGATCGGGGAGGCACGATGGTGCGGCAGTAGCCGTCGTTCAGCGCAACACCTACAGCGGCAGGGCTCGCTTAGCGATGGACCACCAATAGCGATAGCCGACTGTAACCACGGCGACGGTGCCTAGCAGCTCCAAGCAGGAGGAACTAAAATGTTTTTTTTTTTTACAAATGGCAAGCCGCTTCGACGCTGAACCACCAGCCGGGCACCACAAGCGACGCCGAGGCCCAGAAAGGGGAGATGCGTGCCGTTACCGGGTTCCGAATGCTGCCGTGAGGATGGCGACGCGGCAGGAACCCGCCGAGAGGTATCCCCCCGTGGCGCCAGCGAGTTGTGTTGGCGTCGCGGCCCCTCGTGGCGCACGCAACGACCGACGTGCCCGCGGCACACGCAGCCTTCCGTGCGCGCAACGATCAATTGCTTAACACCGATGCTAATTTTATGCAAACGTGATTTTAAGGGGAATGGAGAGACGTGATGAGAGAGTAACATTGAGACGGTATAAATGAGACAAACGCGAATCGATCCTTCATCGGGTATCGTGACCCAAAACCAAGAGTCGTTAGGCTGCAGAGCAGGGTTCAGCATCTTGTGCGTCGTGATAAATTCTGCTCAAGATGTTTCCCCTTAAAGTAAAATTTTAATTTTGTGTCGTCAAAGCTGCAGTGTTGTCAAATCTAACCAATGAGACGCTGTACCGTGTTGCCAAACCATTATTAAATTATCTTTGATGACGTTGTTTTACTGCAGTGCCATGTTCCAGCAAAGCACGTGGCAAAGTACAGCACTCGTTGTGTAGATAAGAGACAGTAGAAGGAATCTCAGTAGTTTTGTGACATCACCAGCCACGGGCTGCCCTCTTAATGACAAGCGGTGCCCTGCGGCCTGACAGTTCGAACCAAAAATCGCCTCGCGTCACGACATGAAGCCATCGCCGCAAAATGAATTTAATTTGGAAAAGGGTAAAATATATATCTTTTAATCTGCCGCTGAACGGGATGCAATGCTGTCGCCAAAGTGAAGGTTAACTTTGAGCTCACGTGGTGTTTGCGGTTAACAGTTTTTTAGTTCTGCAACAGAGTGCTTGGTTCGGATGTTCACCGTTAGCCACGGGACGTTGACCCACGAACCCGGGCCACACCCTGCTCCATTTGCCACGACTCAGGGTAGCGATCAATTCAGAATCAAATTTCCTCGTCTCATTTGCACCGTGTCAAAATTATTTAGTCTCGTTCATGCTCTTGGTCCTTAAGGTACAAAAGGGTTTAATTTACACAAAATACTCAACTCAAAAGACGCACGATCCAAGATGCACGTATTGCGAGCGTGAGGAATCATTCCAATGTACGAACCAATGAATCGTGACCAGTTCCGTACGGCGTTTACACTTGATGCCGATTACACCGACCGATAAGGGATGCAGAGATTGATCACTTGAAATTAATTCTCACGCTCAAGACACAGGCGCGCGGGGACATTGCGCGTACAAGGGTCGGCTATTCCGTGGGAATGCTGCAGGCACTCTGGGTCCTAGCGGCACAAGGGAAGCGTTGTTTTGATCGACTCCACGCCGCGACACGCGGAACGTCCACGACTGACGGAGCAATGCCGTGCTCCGAGCGCAACAATCCGCTAAACCTGCCGGGGTGAAAGGCGATGCCGATATGCGCAAGGAGCTCGTGTGCCACCGTTCATCTCTATCGGCGGCAATGGTGCCGACCCGTGGAACTTACGGGGGGGGGGGGGGGGGGCAGTGCCCACACGGGAGGCACCGACAGGCGGGTTCGTCACGGCTACGCGGGGAGGGGGCGGTTAGGCACCTTAGTCGGGTACTGGGGACGGAGGGGGGAGACACGCGCAGGGCTACGGCACGGAGCTACGGCACGGAGCTACGGCACGGAGCTACGGCACGGAGCTACGGTGGCAGGCGCCGGCGAGCTACAGCAGGCGGCAGAATCCGTTCTTCTTGCGCGTGCGGACCTGCAGCGCGGCGCGCGTCGCCAGCTCGAACACCTCGCGCACGCCCTCCTTGTTCTTGGCCGAGCACTCCATGTAGCCGAAGGCGCCGATCTTGTTGGCCATGTCGCGCCCCTCCTCCGACTTCACGGGCTCCTGGGGGGCGGGGGGCGGGGGACGAGGCTCAGGGGGGGGCTTCAAACTCCTCCGCGCACTGCGGGCCCCGCGGGCTAACCCGGTGCAGATCCCAGAATGCGTCGCGGGGTGGCGACGCGGCCCGGTGACGCGTTCGCACGTTCGTCGCCGGAGGTTCGAATCCGGCAGGCCGCCCGGATTGATACTACAGGCTGATTCACCGCGAAACTAAACGCGACGCCCTTTTCACGGCGGACGGTGAAGGCCCGGTGACGTCGTTCGAAAGACGAGCGGGCGCCGTGGTCAAAATTGAACAGATTCGAAATGTCGCTCGCAAATGACTCAATTGGGATTAAACACTCGGCAACATCGCCCCCCTGCTGAGTGAAACCACTGCAGACTTGTGAAGCATCGTGCCTCCTTCGCTACAGCCTTGTGCTACAAGAGCGCCAGAATACCAAACACACTCGATGATTAACCGGGGTGCTATGGGGCCGTCCATAAATGACGTCACGCACCTGGGGGGGGGGGGGTCAGACATTTGTGACGATGTGTGACGAGGAGGGGGGGGAGGTGTTTGAGAAATGTGACGTCACATCAAAATGCGCAACTTTAAATAAATATAGACAACACGTTCTACTTAATTAAATAGACTTTTTAATAAATGTTTTCTCCTACAACATCAGAGTGCAGCGCCACATTAAATACGCACTACAATGACAATAGTTTAAAGCGATTTGAAGCATGTTTTATTTTAAAAATGGAAATATGGTTTTGGGGGGGGCAGAGCTTTGTGACGTCATATTTGAGGAGGGGTCTGACTTTTTGTGACGCCGTGTGACGAGGGGGGGGGGGGAGTAAAAAAATCCCGTGACATCATTTATGGACGGCCCCCATGGCCCCCGGCCGTATGACGGGAGAGATGATTCCAGTGTGGCCGTGAGCCACGAGAGGGCGCTGTAGCGGCGCATACCACAAGGGGTGGCCCACGCGCAGACCTGGCTGTGGTTATTCGTCTCAATCGCGAGGCAGCGAAGCTCAAATTCTGATCCGAGTCGACTCAACGCATCAGCCTTGTCGGGTCACCTCACACTCATTTGAACAGAGAGACACTGAAAATTGAGATTTAAATTTCAAGGGACAACCTCCACATTGGCTGCGTCTCAGCAGCTTCCCGGCACGAACTGGAGGCATTGTAGGGGTGCCCATCAATGGTCAACTCATCACGACGACACCGAGATGAGACCAATTCCTCCAAATGTTCACTGGAACACTTCGCCATCATCTACACCACGTCCAGCACCTCCACAGACAACACGTGGTGTTGATGAGACCGATGCGGTTGTTAGATAAGGGTCCTCTCTGGCCTATGTGCCGTGAAGGGCCATTGCCCGAAACGTCACCTATTATATACTTTAGTTGTGCTGGTGCACCGATGCCAACGCAGTAGCTCATAAAGGTGGTGGTGAAACATTTGTGGTGGTGGTGGTTTGCAGCAGAGGAATGATGAGAAAGATGTGGTCTGAATACATGTGGTAGATGGGTTCTGTAAGATGTGTAATCTGAGATAATAATACTTTGCTATGTAATTTGGTATTCATCCCATTCACGAAGGCACCACGTTACACATACATGGTCTGCCAGTAGGAGGCGATGTTGCTGCGTGTAATCACAATTGAGTAATTCGCAGGTAATTTGTCAAATTTGCCACGCAATGGCTTACTCGTTTTGAATGACATCAAGGGTTTTTTCATTCACTTCATTTTCATTTTTATTATTGCATCGTTATTTTTTCCTATCTACGTGACTTTCCCGAGAGACCCAAAGAATATCAAGGGTCTGTTGGATGTCCACGGTGATGCAAACGGCGCGCATCTGTACGACGGATACACACACACACGCAGGAATAACCAGGGCAGCCTGTCACGGCTCGCCATGCGGGTCCATTCGCCGTGTGGGTCACGCACGAGTGGCGCGCCGCGCGGGTGACACGCGCGGGTGACACGCGCGCTCTCTCCTCACCTGCTTCATCTTGGCGAGCTCGCGGCGCGTGGCGTCGTCATGCCTCAGGTCGCGCTTGTTCCCCACCAGGATGATGGGGACGTTGGGGCAGAAGTGCTTCACCTCCGGGGTCCACTTCTCGGGGATGTTCTCTGAGCGACGGCACGCACGGCCGCGTTAGGCGTGCGGAGCTACGCTGCGGCTCCGGGCGGGGCCCAGACTCGTCTTATGTAGATGTTCATAGCGCCTTATTTCAATTAACCTCACAAACAATTAGAACACTGTACGGAAGATTATGAGACGTTGAAATAAAGAGTTGGTTATTCAACGTCGTGGTGTAGCTATAGTGACAGGAGAACAGGCGGGAGTGATTAAGGAGGGGTTCGGGTTAGTGATAGTGATTTGGGTAGTGATAGTGATTTGGGTAGTGATAGGGTTTGGGGTAGTGATGGTAGTGATAGGGGTCGGAGTAGGCCTGGTCGTAGCTGGGGGGCAGGGGAGAAGAGATGGGGGGTTTAAGGGAGGATGGGAAGTGGGAGAGTCTAGGCGATCGTTTTATGTGCAGTGGGAGTTTGTTCCAGCGGAGGGCAGCAAAAGGGGGGAAAAAAAAAAAGGAAAGCGTGACTCGGCGCTTGCCATCTCAAAACATTTTGAAAAGTCACCACCAGTGGCGGTTGTCTCTTGCAGTCTGAGGAGGAGACTCAGCACCGCAGCTGTAAGCGGCATTCAGTCGAATCAAGCAATTTGGGGGAATTTTTTTGAATTTGGCAAATTTGGACGACCACGCCAGCGCACAGCCCGCCTGGAACTAAGACGCAGGATATTTACCGTCGGCCGTGAAGCAGACGGCGCACAGTCTTCTGTGGTTAACACAGCCGAAAATAATCACCAGGGCAGCCGCTGGATTCAAACCGTGAACCAACGCAGCAAGCGGCGGACGCGCCGCGTGGCTTGGCCACGTCGCCGCGCACGTGAGAAGGTGAGCAGGAGAAGCGGGCGAGGGGAAGGGGCGTACGAACCGAGGCTGTCCGGGCTGTCTATGGAGAAGCACATGAGGATGACGTCGGTGTCGGGATAGGAGAGGGGTCGAAGACGATCGTAGTCCTCCTGGCCAGCCGTGTCCCACAGGGCCAGCTCCACCTGGTTCACCACGGAGGAGCCAAGATCACGATCAGCATCATCATCATTACTATCATCATCACCAGCAGCAGCATCATTATTCCTATCATAAACAGCAGAAGCATTATCAGCACCACACTTTACCATGCGGCGTTAACACTAACCCATTCCGTACCACATAGCGGTTGAGGTGTTACGCGCCTGTAGGCAGGGCTTTGGGGATGGGTGGGTGGATTACACAAGGATAATTTGGAAGAACCACCCAACCTACTGGACTTGGAATTGACCAGCAGCACAAGAATTAGTTTGTTACACCACATGTATTATACTAGCTGTGCTCGTGTTCTCTGGTCATACATGTGCGTTTTCTCCAGGTACTCCAATTTCCCCTTGAAAACGATACTCATCAAGGAACTGATCAAACATGCCAAACAGGACCCTCCTGTGAGAGAGCCTTGAGACTCACTGAGCACTTTAACACGTCGGCTTTCGCAACCAATATCATCCATAACACAGGTTTTTTAGGATTAGATCACTGGTTTAACGACACAGGCTGTGTCGGGTGGTGGCGGGTTTAACGACACATTTATATATTAACAGCCTGTGTTGGGTGGTGGTGGGTTTAACGGCATATTTATATATTTACGCGATCTCACTAAAAAAAAAACCTGTATTATCGATCACTAAGGGCTGTATGCAGGCAGCCACGAATCCTATACTTCTTGCGATGATATTCAAAGGTCAACGCCTATGATGCCCCCAGACCCTAGCCAGTGCTTACGACACACGACACACATTGCGCTGTTGTGCAGCAGTCTCTGGACACCCGAGGTCTGCTGACGGTTTCCCACATTGGAGAGCAACTGCGGCCCTCGTGACACTGTTGGCCGGGACGCCCAGTCCTGGGAGCCAAACTGGGCAGCGCTCATCTCATTGGCAGAGATGCTGATGAGGTTGCATTATTTATTATTACTAATAAATAATGTAACATGCTAATCGGCGTATGTTTTATGAGCAGCGCAGTGCGCTAACCACAGGAACCACTGCTCCACTCCACCCCCTAGTGGGCTGTGCCTCTAACAGCACTTGCACCCGACAGCCTGTGAAATGCTGCATGGCGGATCGAACCTCTCTTCTCTCGAGCACACACACACAAGCGCCAAACAGGGGCACGTGCACGCAACCACATACAGAGCTCAAAACAAAGATCCCCCTACGGCCTTAACAGACTGTTGGGGAAAGTCCTGTTCGCGCGAGCACCTATGAAGGCCGGTAACGCCCAAGAGGAAGTGGTGTGGACCAGTGCCACACTGGGTCACCATTGTCCCCCCCAATGGTCATGTTAACACACTGCACCAGGTACTCATTTAAGGCTAAGACAACCTAAGGGAGGAGGCCTAGGACCAGTTCAAATATTCGTTATTGATCCTGCACGGGAATTGTTGCGCGAACCACTATACTACCGTTCCCTGACATACACACACAGTAGCTCTCGCTATATTTCCTCCTGCCTCAGCAGTCCGCCTGCTGTATTTTTTCATTTGAAGACGATTGCTGGTGTTGCGATCGAAACGTCGTGATTTTTATTTATTTTTCTATCTACGAGACTTTACCGAAAGACCCAAAGAGTATACACACACAGAGCCAACACCAACAACCGCCATTTGCCTCTAAGTGACGGTGATGTTACCACGACACTTGTGCCAGGCTTGGTGCACTTATAGGCCACGTGAAGTGTCGAAGGTTCGCTGAAAGGAGGTCCCAGGACAGACCCAGGTGCCAAGGGTTGACAAATTATTGGCAAATGCACCACCTGTGATCCCTACTGTGACAACCTTGTGCGTTTTAGCCGCCCGGCACTCCGCTCATTGTTGCGAGCATCGCTCCTCTGCCCTCCGCTGTTGCTGGAGGGCAACTGCATCTAACTGCCCAGTAGCATCATCCTTCACCGAGGCCTATCGTGACACTGCTGGTACGTCACCGACAAGTGCACTCAGCTCCACATCCTCCTGTAGTGCGTCAGCAAATCTCTTCTCCAACCCATGCTGTGCCCGTTTAGCCCCTCTACCCGGCCAAACAGAAGCTGCTTGGACATGTCGTCGCTGGGAATGCGGGCTATACGATTCAGCCAATGCGGCCTCGCCTGCCGCAGCTCACCGATGGGACACAGACACGCATGGACGCATAGACACAACGAGACACACACACACAGATGCGCACAGGGGAACGCACGGCAGTCTCACCTGCTTGCCGTCCACCTCAATGTCGGCGACATAGTTCTCGAACACGGTGGGCACGTACACCTCGGGGAACTGGTCCTTGCTGAACACGATCAGCAGACACGTCTTTCCGCACGCGCCATCACCCACGATCACCAGCTTCTTGCGGATTGCGGCCATTGCTGTGGCACACAGCGCGCACCGTGTAAACAAGCACACAAAGAAAAAGTTCCACAAATAGCCTACACCGACTGTCGGGGCAAGAGTGCTGTTAGCGAGCACCCATTAAGGCCGGCACAACACACTTTGATGGAGATTCCGCCGTCAGCGGTGTGGCCTTCAACCATCCAAATTTGTATCCTCAGTGCTGGTATTGATTGCACACCACATCAGGTACTCATTTATGACCGAGTCACTCTTAGGGAGGCCGAGACCAAGATCAGATATTTCCCAATGCTGTTAGCCATGGCTGACATCATACAAAGCAAAATAACTTCTCATGTGACACGAGTGTATGTATGTATAACTTATTTTGTACCATACGTAGCCCAACATGCTAACCTTAATAGTGCACCTATTCAGGTTGACATGGCACACGATGCAGTGGTGTGCACCATATAGAGGTGCCGTTGTCTCCCAAATGCTGACGTTCACAAACTACACTAGGTACTCATTTGGGCCTTAGACAACCGAGGAGGCCCGAGACAGCCTCAGATACGACGTGCCATTTACTAAGGCTTGCAATCGAACACATGTACACGTGCGCACACACACACACAGACCTGCGCTAACACTAACGGTGGCAATTCACCCTTTAGAAGTGGAATTGTTGTTGTGATGCTGCTGGGTTCTCCAGGAGCATAGAGGGAGATACCTCACCAGCGCCCTGCCCCCAAGCTCCACCTCGAGTTGTAGATGGCTCTTTCTACGCCATTGCTCGTTGCGTTTAGAACCAACTACAACGAAATCGCACTTCCTCAGCAGGGGCAACAGCCTCATTGGTTCAGCCTTTGCAATCGTGACCGATGCATACACCTGAACGCACAAACCACCATGGGATAATTTTACGAATGTATTTATTTTAAACCCTAAAATGAATGGACTGATATAACTCATTATCCTGAAAATAAACTGTAAAGGTGATGATTGCACCTTTAAGAGGTTATCTGCTCTGATGAGGATGGTTCATATTAAGTAGTGACAATTCAATGTTTCCATGCCAGGGTCCAAGGTATTAATTTAATATCCAGCAGTGTCAAAGATGTGTAACGTTTGTAAATCCACACCATGAGACGCGTTCCCGAGCGTGACCAGAAGATGTTGTACGGCGTGTACACAACGGCTTTAAAAGTTGTATAATCTCCTGTAGATGCCACTGGTTATTCGTGTTCTGCACATGTAGATGCCACCACCGCCATCTATTGCGCGGTGGTTTAACTTACAAACTCTCGATCGGAACGGGCATCTGGACATACGGACAGGTTTGTTCATACCTCTAAAAGTTAAGTCGAATGTTAGCAAGTGGAATGTTCGCAAGTAGAGAAGTCCCCATATTTATTTATACTGGAGGAATCCGATGAACAATAAAGCTCTTTTTCACAGATGTCCAGTAGTTTCACCATAAGCGAGAGCATACAACGCTGCCGAGTAACAATAATAATGATTTCCACTTATTAGACACCATTCACAATGTCTCAAGGCGCCGTGCATGAAAAATACAAAAATAATGCAGTGGAAACTGGGCGGCAAAATCAGAAGCAAAGAGGAACAAAGCAACGGTTTAAAAATATAGATTGGGACTTAAAGAGACATCAACACTGTCCGAGAGCCAGGTGTCCAACGGTTGGGAGTTCCACAACGTGGCAGCCCCCACAGTAAATACCCGATGACCCCAAAAATGCAACCAAGATTGAGGTATATGTAAAACGGCACCATCGGCAGATCTTGAAGACCTTTAGGGGGGCATGAGAGATGGCCGAATGCCCCGAGTCCCTTTCTCTGTGAGCCCGGTTTAAACAGACGAGATCAAGGCAGCCTTTGCAAGATAGAAAAGTATCAGGCAAAGGCATCTGGACGAGACGTTGCTGGGACCCGACTGGTTGACCCGCCACTAAACCCCGCAATGATCACGAACTAGGAGGCGTCCATGCCGCTCGCAAGACTCTCAGTACGAGCGAATAAAGCGCCACCACATATTCGGCACAAAGTCGCAACCCCCTGAGAGCTACGGGTCACTGCTACAAACGAGATTCATCCTGGTCTCATGAGTTCTCTCCTGGTTAAGAAAAATAAACAAGAAAATGTGGTACCGAAATATCTTAAAAAATGTAGATAGGAACGTCTAAAAATTTAAAGGAGAAAAAAAACTAGCCATCTCACATTTGTGGACAGCCATATAAAAATTATCTACAGGAAATCAATGAGGAACTTCACAAAAGCCGCAAGTTTGCAATCAAATAAATAAATATGCAAATAAAAAACTGTTGGGCAGAACTGGATGCAAAGCAGAATATGTAAACATGTGGCAATTACTCGGTGAACCAACATCAAAATTATTAAATAGACATGTAGATGAGAGCAGGTTGGGCTGCTTATGGTGGAAAAAAATGAAAAACAGCTTAACAATGTTAACAATAAATAATCAATCAGTAAATATTTCGAGCGATGACAGACGGATCAGAACATTGACACTGACAACTAAAATTAAACAAAAGCTGAAATGCAATAGCAAGGAGTATGGCAGAGGTACATTCTGGAAAATACAAAGAGACAGAAAGAGGAACACGTGGATCAGGGAACAACCACTTAGAAGAAACGTCAGATTCAATTTTTTTAAAATTGCACTTGGGCAGGACATATTGCAAGAATGGGTGATAGCCAAGGGACGAGTGTGGCGATGGAATGGGAGGCGTTGAGATGGAATGACATCGCAGGATTGAGGGACGGTGATCACGTGGGGAGGCATCCAGCAGTGGGTAGATAATTGATGACGATCATTAACATTGCAACATATGCTGGCCTTATCGTGGAAACGTTGAATTTCCATCACTACCGAGAGGTTGTCAACGGCAATGAATGAGACCCTCTTATAATTTTAGAAGAGGCTTGGCTTTGCCTTGAACATATGACGAAATTAAATCCAGAAGGGGCAAGGAAACAGAAGCAACCTCCTAATGAGCTAAGTTTAACTGGCGGTGTCATTCGGAAGCCTTGGATACTGGAATGGAGGGCACAGGTAGGAGCAGAGTTGTGTAAAAGGAAAATGCAGGAGGAGGCGAGCCCACGGAGTGTCCTCCAGTCACTGAGGGCGATGTTGTAGTCGATGTCTCGATTTGGAGTCAGTGGAGGGATCAGAGGGTAGAAAGCGACATGGGGAGTGAGGAATATGGCTGCTGCATTCTGCATCATTTGGAGCCATAGTTAGGACAGTACTCGAGCAGAGATGTGACAAGGCAAGGAAAGAGCCTCAGCTGCAGAGGATGAGGAAGTGGCGGATGTGGGGGGCGGCGGTGTTGTGTAAGTGGAGGGCGGTTGGGAACGAGAGCTCAGGCTTGAGGCCAGATTAGATCCTTCACACACTCTTTGGTAGCTTCATGCCAGAGTCCAGGAGCAAACCCAAACCGGAGAGGAGCGTTGCGACGAATAGTCGATCAAAACTTTATAATTACAGCAACTACTTTCTGTTATGTGACCACTCAGACCCTTTCTCAAATGGTGGCCACCCCCACATCCTCCCTCCCAGAGACAGGAAACGCTCCATAAACCAAGCCCAGAGTGACGCGAGGTGACGTCACCTAGCTCAGCCCATCACCTCCCATCCAGCAGCACATGTGAGAAGAGAAGTTACTTTTAATAAAACTAGTCGTTTCTGGTATTTAGTAGATTCATGAAGCCAATAATCGGTAGAGTATTTGATTGTTTAGATAAGCTCTGAACCGGAGTCTTTACGAACGGTGAATGATTTGATGACCACAGCGATGTGGTTTTGAGTGTGTCTCGTTTGAGACAGTGTCAAGTGTAGCAGAAGATACGGATACCGAGGAGGAAAAACTCCAACTCGTGTGACGTAACGAAGATGCGGATAAGCTATAAAGTATGTTATGTAACATGGTGGTGAATAGTTGGCAATGTGACAAATGAAAAGTAGCAGTTTTGCCACAAAGAAAACGGTTTATAAGCCTAAGGGACCCTTTTGGCAAAATAATTTGGTATTTAAGTCCACCAGTGTATGACCCTTTTGTACCAATGTTTTTTGTTGTTTCATGGAGGCAAACTGGACTGGTTTAAATGTTTCTGAATCTTAACAGCCAAGTCTGCTCACAAGGGGCGATTTAATGATTTGACAATTCAGCGTCACAAATTCGATTTCACAACGTGAGTCTTGTTTAACACTGTGGTGAATGTAGTGTCCAGTTGGTACTGCTTGGGTTACACGACGTGACAATTGATGGTTCTTAAAAGTGATCGAACATCGAACGTATCATACATTTCAGAATCTACAGCATGTGAATCGATGCATCCCGAGACTAATACGGTTAACTAAATTCAGCCGCGTTGCCAGATATTGCAGGGTGGACGCACAAGCAAGTGGGGCCCCCACACGATGGCACAGCAAAGCTAAATTGTAAACATGTACAGAAATTAGCTGTCAATATCGGGACACCCAGCAGCATTCAAAAGGTTACACTGCTGACGGGACTGGAAACCAGCCCAGTGTTAACCGCCTTCATTCACCAATTAATTGTAACATTCATAACGCGCACACATTTTGCTTAAAACGGACGGGGGCGTGGGAGAACACATTTGAGACAAAGAGAGGCGGCCTCATTCTGATAGATTCTTCTGGAAAACATTTGTCCACAAGGCCCATCATCATCATCAGGCATGATCAATTCACTGCTGGATGAAGGCCACCCCAAGCAGTCACCATCTCTTTTGCTCCCGCATCGGGGAAAAAAAAATCCATATTGTTCCTGCCACGAGAGGATTTAATCGATTCCATCTCCACAGTCTAAGTTGTATTGGACGTTCCCCTTTTTTTGGCTGCCACTCTAAATGGCCCGAAGGCTGATAAAGTTAAATGATTTATTATTAAGTAGGAAGACAGACCCGACTCGATTCACGTATGATCGCATTGATATGGCGTGTTATATTAAGTTATGACGTTAACACTATTTAACATCAACAGCTGATGTTATCGGAATAAAAATAAGCTACTGCGGTTTTTACTCATTGCAAAGTTAGACGACATTAACATTAACACAATTACTACAGCGACACTAGATGGCATGCTGCGTCTGTTGCGCCTTTGAATAGTAACAACCGCGCGAATTAATGTCGATACATCATGAGTATTACTCTGCTGACACTAGTTACCATTAACAGTTAATGGTCAATTCGAACGGTAGCATGCGTTATCATTACCCCCCAAAAACCTGTATTATGGATCATTACCCTGTTTACAATAGTAACCCGTGTTAAGTTTAACCTCGTTACCAGCGAAGCACCTGTTACCCGCATCCGCAAAGATATCAGGAGTGGTCGTTACCTCCACTAGCACGAAACTACCAGCTAACACTAACCCAGTTAATACCTCTAACCATAAACACCGGTTAAGGTTAACCAGGTTATCATGCTAACACGAGTTAAGTTAACCTCCATCCCCGCCGTAGGAATGGACGTTACCTCCATCAGCACGTCACCATTGGCACCACTAACCTAGTCACCCTAACACTATTTAACGTTACCACGGCAACACTAGTTAAGGCTAACCAGGTTACCGGAATGGCACTAGTTAACGTTGACCCCCCCCCATTAGTAAGCCAACGGCAGTTTCCGTTACTTTCATCACCAAGTTAACACCCCCCCGTCACTGTAACCATGGTAACGCTAGTTAAGGTTAAGCGGGTAACCTTGGTAACGCGACTTTTAACCAACCCGTTATACCCCCCCCCCCACCCCGCTGAGACTATGGCGGCTCGTCTTTGTTAATTGCTAAATTATATTCGCGCAACTTACGTGCGTGTCTACGCGTGGACGTTCGTGCGCACCGCGTGTGTTAACCTGGCCGAGTATTACATTTGTATTATTCAATTTGCGGGGAATTAGGAGAAGCCTCGGCCTAGCCCCGGGGCCCAGCGGCGGAGGCTTTAGCAGCGGCTCCCCGAGCCTCAACATTTCGACTCGCTCCAGGGGCGACTCGCGCAGCGCGACAATCATCACGGCCACCTCCCCACACCAACCTCCACCACAACCTCAACAACAACCACAACAATAATAACCACCACCACCACCACCACAGCGACCAGGGCCGCGCCTCCTACCTGAGAGGGGAGACTCCGACTGAAGGGCGGGGCTGAGGGGAAAGGGCGGGGCCGGGGGTGAGGGGTGGGGTCTGGGGGTGAGGGGGGGGGTCTGGGGGTGAGGGGCGGGATATGGCGGTGTGGGGTGGGGTCTCGAGGTTGATGGGTGGGGTCTGGAGGGTTAAGGGGCGGGGTATGAGGGGAGGGGTATGAGCGTAAGGGGTGGGGTTTGGAGGTGAGGGGCGGGGTCTGGGGGTGAGGGGCGGGATATGGCGGTGTGGGGTGGGGTCTCGACGTTGATGGGTGGGGTCTGGAGGGTTAAGGGGCGGGGTATGGGTATGAGGGGAGGGGTATGAGCGTAAGGGGTGGGGTCTGGGGGTGAGGGGTGGGTGTCTGGAGGTGAGGGGTGGGTGTCTGGAGGGAGAGGGGCGTGGCCTGGGGTGGGTTCTGGGGGGCGAGGGTGGGGTCTGGGGGTGAGGGGAGGGGTCTAGCGGTGAGGGGCGGGGTCTCAAAGTAAGAGGGGGGGGTAGAGGCTGCGACGTGGATACCGTGCAGGGAAAGTTTCTAATATTCACGGGAAACGTCAACGTCACGTTGCGGCGACAAATCTCCTTGACCTTTGCGTGACCCCCTCAATTCTGACCGCGTCCCCGCACGAACTCTGCAATGCGATGTCGAAAGAAGGGGAGTCATAACGTGATGGAGTCATGGCACACGGTGATTACATCTGCTGTGGAATTTTCATTTCATTTATTAGGTATAACCCTGTGAGCCAGTGAGCCATGCGGCTCTTGACTCGGGTGCAACCGCAACAAAACAAAAACATGAACAAGAAACATTTTAAAGTGACTATACGCAACAGGAAAAAATCCTGGAAAAAACAGCAAAATCTTCCAGAAAAAGCACCGCATTTCAACGCTGTGTGCAAAAATCCCAGTGGGATGCAAGTCAAACAATAACAACCTTAAGACAATGTAGATTAAAGTTATCAAGTCAACTCTGTACCACAACAAACAAAAATGGCCAGACCAAACCGTCCTCAAAATCACCCAAATAAAGCCACAAAAACAATGTAACAGTGATCATAGGAACTGTGATTCAAATCCAACAACAACGATACAAATTTTGACTTAAAGCTTTCGTGACTGCAGTAATTCATATTCTTAGTTTTTTCTGTAAAGTCACGTTGAAGAGAAACTAAGAATAACAACGATACACTTAACATGTACGACCAAACCCCGCAACCATAGCTGGCTGCATGAGTCACTCCATAACAGCAGCAGCATCAGTAGCAGAATCAAAATTTCTCAATGCACCTTTAAAGATCAGCACACCACAATCAAAACTCAAGATCATACTTTGTAGCGGTCATCCGGAATGATACATATGATGTCAGGCCATTCTGAATGGCAGTGGCAGCTAGGGGTGTACAACTCCTCTAGAGCAGTTTTGAGTGAAGATCTCACAGGTAGTGATCCAAGTTGCAGTTTATTGGCGATAGCATTCCAGACCCTGGGGGCATCAATAAACAAAGGCCTTTCCTCCACTATTTGTACGGCAATAAGGAATGTGAAGCTGGTAAATGAGCAAAGACCTTCGGTCACATTTGTTCTTCGAAACAGTGAGGAGATCCAGCAGGTAGTCTGCTGATTTTTTTTGTAAATACATCGCGAATAAATAAGATCTGATGCACAAGCCGTCGATCATTAAGAGATGTTAAGTTTGACCCAATGTAGAGATCGCAGTGGTGGGTCCTATATGGGCTGTTCAATGCAAATCTTAAGGTCGAGTGATAAATTGAGTCAAGTTTCTTCAGTACAGTACTAGGGGCTGATTTATATACGATATCACAGTAATCAAGTACAGGCAGTATGGCAGCTTTTATCAATTCCCAGCGGAACATAGGGGGGAAGCAGTGCTTGTGTCGATACAGAAAACTAATTTTTTATTGTCTATTTACCAATATAATCAATGTGATCTTGAAAATTCAGTTTTGAATCAAAGATGACCCCAAGATACTTATAGATATTGACTTTCTCTATTTGATGATTATTTAAGGAATTGGGGGAAGCTGCCTCGGGACTGGAGGAAAACAATCAGCGATTGACCAAATATCCCAGTGTGGAATCCTCATTAAACACAGCCTTGAGACTCAGGCTTTCGTGAGTAAATATACTGCAGTAGACTGCCATGATTACAGCATTGTTGTAACAAGGTCATAATGTAAAAGCCCCTTCTCACTGACGAGGTTTGCTTGCATCAGCAGCTTTGGATATGATTACATCTTGATTTCGTCAAAAGGTATCAATTGTTCCGTAAACACGGCCCACGGAAGAGTTTGCTCGTAATGGGTGTTAATGATTTACTGCCTGTAGAGGGAACTGTGAGACATTGTGGGGTTGCCGGGTGACCTCCGATTATATTCCTGTTGGCTACGTACGGTGCGAAAGAAGTTCTACATACAGTGAGGGAAAAAAAGTATTTGATCCCCTGCTGATTGTGTACGTTTGCCCACTGACAAAGAAATGATCAGTCTATAATTTTAATGGTAGGTTTATTTGAACAGTGAGAGACAGAATAACAACAACAACAAAATCCAGAAAAACGCATGTAAATTTTTTTATAAATTGATTTGCATTTTAGTGAGGGAAATAAGTATTTGACCCCTCTGCAAAACATGACTTAGTACTTGGTGGCAAAACCCTTGTTGGCAATTACAGAGGTCAGACGTTTGTGACGATGCGTGATGAGGGGGGGGGGGGTGAGAAATGTGACGTCACATCAAAATGTGCAACTTTAAATAAATCTAGATAACACGTTCTACTTAACTTTTTCATAAATGTTTCTCCTACAACATCAGAGTGCAGCGCCACATTAAATTCGCACTACAATGACAATAGTTTAAAGCGATTTGAAGCATGTTTTATATATATATTTTTTTTGGGGGGGGGGGGGGCAGAGCTTTGTGACGTCATATTTGAGGTGGGGGGGGAGGGGGGTCTGACTTTTCGTGACGCCCCTAAATCTCGGAGCAAACCTGGAAAAGCAGTCGCGAGAAGCAACAACATCATCAACAATACCAGCTAACATTCTCACCACGCCTCGCCAAAGAGAAGCAGTCCCAGGCCATCACATTAGGGGTGAGTTAATTAAACGTTTGACCAAATATAACGGGGCTAATTTTTAAGTTGATCATTTTGTATGGGCTCGCGAATGATGATGTTACGTAAATATCCAAATGGCCCTTCCCTTAGCAGAAACAAAACAAAAATGTTCCCCACCCCTGCAAGTCTAAACCATCACCACCACCCATTGATCCAGCAGTAGATCTACACATTCGAACCGACACTGCCACGTTATGACCCACATTCGGTGTGGACTGTGTATACAATAAAGTCACACACACAGTGAGAAGGGGTGGGGGCAGAAACCCTGGAAGGCCGCGTGCTGCATGGCTGCCTTGCAGAGTTGTAGTTCTGTAGCAGCAGCAGCAGCAGAATGTGCCCCCTGGGTGTCTCGCACACCGCATTCCAAGGACGTAATTATAATAATATAATTATAATATCATAATTATAATATATATTATTGGGGGGGCACATCCCCCCCCCCCAATATTCATATATGCTCAAAATGCCCCCCCCCCCAATATATTTCTATAAAATATATTTCTGTTTATACGATTGTGGTTATGGTTGTACTTTATTAATCCCTAATCTCTGCCATTACACACAATGAAACAAGAAAATGTAAAACAAAGAAAAAAAACAGAGCAATGTAATACAACATACACTCTTAGACATTGTTGTAAAAAAAAGTCCATTCTCTGTGTTAGTGAATTTTTAAAATATTTTTTTTAGGCAGGAAATTAGTTTTAAAATTTAGATGTTTTTTTCTCTGGGGGGTGGGGACCCCCAGACCCCCTGGAAGATTTGCCCCCCCCCCCCCCCCCCCAATGTTGACTCCATAGCTGCGGCCTTGCCGCATTCACACACCGGCAGCGGTAATTTATATCCTGCAGAAAATATTGACTGTAATCCCCGAGACGTCTCCAGCCGCCCCCCCGCCCACCCACTGAAAGTGTCCTTGCCCTCCAAACTTTCACGTCTGCGCAAGTTTACAAGTTTACAAGCGAGACGAAGCGAGACGAAGCGTGGTCGATGTCGATCTGTGTGCAAACGACCCGCGGCCTCGCATCAGCTGGAGGCCGCGAGGGGTTGCCATGGTAACGGCAGCGCCCACATCTTCCTCCTCCTCCTCTCGCGAAATCTTCGCTTTTCGCTCTCCTCATCGTCGTCCAACATCATCTGCCGTCCGCCTCCTCACACCCCCTTCCTCGCTCTTCCTCGTCTGCAACTCGCGCTCCTGTGCTTCGTGTGTCCGCTTCGGGCGCCGTCGCCCCGCGTTTCGAATGAAGGCGATCGCGGCCTAGCGCCTCCCCGTGCCGCCTCGGGTTGGTCTGGACGCGCTGCCCGGCTCGGTGCGTGGTGCCCCCCCCCGCCCCCCCGGGAGCCCCGGTGAGTTGTTCCCTCCTCTGCAGTTTCCTCTCGTCGCTTCCATAGTCAACTAAAGTTAGATTGACAAAACCTCGACACATTCGTCCATATCACTGCCCGTGAAGATGAAAATATATAATAGGCGACGTTTCGGGCAATTGCCCTCAGCATAATGGAATTGAAACTCTTTTCATAGATAAGGGCCATTGCCCGAAACGTCACCCACTCGATATTGTTCATATTTATGGCAGGGCAGTAATGGTGAGTGGTGATTGTTGCACCACTGCCAACGAACCCGATGCCCGTGTGAGGTTGCGTGTACTAACGCCATAGTAAAATTACGTGGTTGAACGTCATATTAAAGCATGGCAAATATATTAACACGAGCTTCACACTCGTATCGGACACAGCCTACGTGTGTGTCTGTGTGTAGACGAAAGATAGGAGCTGCTGTTTTTTTTTGATCTGGTAATTTAGTCCATCCAGCATCAACCAACAAACGCCACTTTGGTTGGAGGCGTGGGTATCGCGGCTGGGGTTGGACCCACAGAAAAACTGCGCCACACGATGATCATCTCACCGCTTCATCATGATAATCGAGTTTTTTTTGGGTTAGATCGCGTAAATATATAAATGTGTCGTTAAAGCCCTCCACTACCCGACACAGCCAACTAGTAAGCGTTGCCATGTAAACAGAACATGTCAATTCTTCACTAGTACAGCACACCGGTGTGTAAGGCTACGTGTTAAACCGTTTCATCATGATCAACCACGCACGGAGCTGATGTCCATCTGCTGGATGAAGCCTGGAGCCCTCTCCCTCCTGGAGCCCTCTCTCTCCTGGAGCCCCCCTGGAGCCCTCTCCCTCCTGGAGCCCCCCTGGAGCCCTCTCCCTCCTGGAGCCCTCCTGGAGCCCTCCTGGAGCACTCCTGGAGCCCTCTCTCTCCTGGAGCCCCCCTGGAGCCCTCCTGGAGCCCTCTCCCTCCTGGAGCTCCCCTGGAGCCCTCTCCCTCCTGGAGCCCTCTCTCTCCTGGAGCCCTCCTGGAGCCCTCCTGGAGCCCTCTCTCTCCTGGAGCCCTCCTGGAGCCCTCTCCCCCCTGGAGCCCTCTCCCTCCTGGAGCCCTCTCTCTCCTGGGGCCCCCCTGGAGCCCTCCTGGAGCCCTCTCCCTCCTGGAGCTCCCCTGGAGCCCTCTCCCTCCTGGAGCCCTCTCTCTCCTGGAGCCCTCCTGGAGCCCTCTCCCCCCTGGAGCCCTCTCCCTCCTGGAGCCCTCTCTCTCCTGGAGCCCCCCTGGAGCCCTCCTGGAGCCCTCTCCCTCCTGGAGCTCTCCTGGAGCCCTCTCCCTCCTGGAGCCCTCTCTCTCCTGGAGCCGTCCTGGAGCCCTCTCCCCCCTGGAGCCCTCTCCCTCCTGGAGCCCCTCTCTCTCCTGGAGCCCTCTCCCTCCTGGAGCCCTCTCCCTCCTGGAGTCCTCCTGGAGCCCTCTCCCTCCTGGAGTTCCCCTGGGGCCCTCCTGGAGCCCTCTCCCTCCTGGAGCCCTCTTGGAGCCCTCCTGGATCCCTCCTGGAGCCCTCCTGGAGCCCTCTCCCTCCTGGATCCCTCCTGGAGCCCTCTCCCTCCTGGAGCCCTCTCCCTCCTGCCTTGGCAGACCTCTCCACATCGGCATTTAGCTCATGACCATATAGCCGCCACCGTACGCAGGAATAGAAAGTTTCAGTCCAACGATGCAACAACAACCTACCTTAAATTTCGATTTAAAGCTTTCGTGACTGCAAGGATTGCTCTTCTTTGGTTCTTTCGGTAAAGTCACGTAGAATGAGAATAAAATGATAAATTGATAAAATAACACAATATTCTCACGACGTTTCGGCCACAACACAAGCGGCCTTCATCAGGTGAAGGGGACGAGACTGTCCTCCAGACGAGACTGTCCTCCAGACAGTCTCGTCCCCTTCACCTGATGAAGGCCGCTTGTGTTGTGGCCGAAACGTCGTGAGAATATTATTGTGTTATTTTATTTTATCAATTTATTATTTTATTCTCATTCTACGTGACTTTACCGAAAGAACCAAAGAAGAACAACCTACCTGCACACGAGATGGTTGTTACATCGCTCCCTCTCCAGCTGGGGGTGGACATCCTCTCCGGCATGCTTCCCTCCTCCTGTGGCTACCAGCTCGGCCATCGGCCATCATCAAGCAGTGAATACGACTCATTACCATCGTCAAGCGGTGTGCTACTCATTACCACGTACCGTCTTCATTGGCGCCATATAGCGTAGTCACCGAAGCTGCGCCAGCCAGGGTGTAACAATTGGCAACGAGTGCGGTCGTATAGTACTTTGTAGCCACAATTAAGTGAACAATACATTAAGGTAATAAAGGCCCTGTGTGACTATGGGAACCAAAATACGTATTGCAAAGCGGGTCATGAGACTCTTGCAAATGCAACTACAATAAAGGTCGTTGCATGTACCGGTGAATTACAGTCAACAATGTACAGAATCAGAATACTGTATTGTATTGAACATCGTGTCATTTAGTTGCGACGAGTGGTGGCGCTGTGGTTAGCACACTGTTCATTGATCCCGACCGCCAGTATAAGTGGCTGGCCATTATTATCTGTCTGAACCAGCCCCGGCCACCCCCACTTTGCCAACCTGTACTGACTAGCGTGCGATATGTGGAGGGCCTCATGCAGCAATGGATTGACAATGAAGCTGTACATATTCCTATTGTTGCAGGCGATGGAGCGGTGGCACAGTGGTTAATAATGCACTGGACTCTGAACCAGCGAGCCCATTTAAATTCCTGGCCGCAGCTAACATCAGTGGCTAGTGACATACGAGCCAATCCTGGACTCTGTTTACCAGTGCGCATTGACCAGTGCGCATTGGCCAGTGTGGTGAAGTCTAATATAACAACCCCCACGGGGGACACGACGTAGGGGGGGCATTCATCCAGCAGTGGATTGACAAAGGGATGTGAGTTGTTGCTGGCTCAAGAATGGATTGCCACCGTTATCTGAAGGTTCTAATACTGCAGCTCAATGGAAACCGTACAGATCTCCACAAATACATGTACAGGGCAGGTTCGGGAGTTTGGTCATGGAAAATATGAATCGGCTCCGTGAGATATGTTGTCTACTGGGGCATAGAGACACAGGGGGTTCACGATGCTGTTTTAGCATTGCGTGAGGTCTAATGAGAGATTGACCTCAATCCGGCTTGAGCTGTAGGCAGAGCAGAGGCAGATGTACAGACGAGGGGCTTGCGGGCGGCACTTTTTCCGCCGAGATGGTTCGCACGGAACCCAAGACTCCACATCCACTGCAGCCACTCGGTAATTTCTGTGGGGATTTACCAAAGCACGTCTTCTTCTTCTTCTGCTGTTAACGATTCTCTGACTCCATCATTGGTAAAGGTGAGTCATGATCCGTCAGTGTTGAATGCAATTCTCTTTATAGCTGAAATTGCAAATATTGGCAACGTACGTACAATTGAATCGCCATCCATGAAGAAGACTCATCATCCACTGTGTTTCATCATTGATGATTAAATTGTACTTACATTGGCAACATGTTAAATTTTAGTCGGAACAGTTTTTTTTATTTTTAACGTAAGGAGACATATTCTTGGTTCTTTCGGTAAAGTCACATAGAAGGGAAATAATAAAAGAATAAAAATAAAACTAAATATTTTATTATTTCCCTTTGTGACTTTTACCGAAGGAACCAAGAATACGAATCCCTGCAGTCACGAAAGCTTTAAATCGAAATTCAAAAGGAGGCTCGCAATCCACAATTGTCTTTCCACCGCTGGAAGAAGGCCTCCCCACTCAAACCCTCTCACCATTCCTCATGGTCCTTTTTGCGATGCCACAGTCCATCTGACTCCTGTGCACAAGTTGATGTTATCACACGAGCTGATGTCATCTCTATGGTGGTCCATGTTCTTGGACCTTCTTTTTTGTTATCCTTTGGCTGCCAATCTGTGTGCATGCATATTGAACGTCTTTTTCGCACCGTACGTAGCCAACCGCGCTAATCGGAGGTCACCAGTTTCGTCCATCTGCCAGGATTGCTTCTGGTGACGTGTGCTGCCCAAGCCTATTTACTTCATCAGTCAAGATGAAGTCTTGATGATATTATATTCTTAGTTTTTTCGGTAAAGTCACGTTGAAGGGATGCTTGAACCAATTCAAACACAGTGATTATTGCGTATTAGTTAAAACGTAGCAAAGTGAGAATTTTTTATTGTTTTATATATCTTTTATTATTTTGTTGTTTCCCTTCAACGTGACTTTACCGAAAAAACTAAGAATATGAATTACTGCAGTCACGAAAGCTTTAAATCAAAATTTCTTGATGATATTGTTGGTTTTCGTGACGAGGCGGTTGGTCGGATCTCTTTTGTATGAAGAATTGCAAATACTTTATCTACAGCCATCCATTTTAGTAAACATGTTTAGTCCGGACAGTCGAACCAAACCTAAAACTGGAACTAGAGTTAAGGATGCTTGAACCAATTCAAACACAGTGATTATTGCGTATTAGTTAAAACGTAGCAAAGTTCTCAAATCAAGACCTCCTCTGTAACCTATATTGTCGCCTGCAATGTATCTTAGGTGGAAGATATTTATTTAGATACATTTTTACACATATGCAAATTTGAATTGGTTCAAACAAGTTTCTAACAGTTAGTTAATCAACAACCTAACCTTTCTAAAACCATTCAGAGCCGATTGAACCATCTCCGATTTAAGTGGGTTTAACTGAATCCAAACGCAGACTCTTATGGCTCACTGAGTCCATAAAACGTGTTCATAATCAAGGCCTGCTTGGGAGGTTAAGTTTATTGTTTTTTTGTGTTTGTGTCAAAATTAGCGTGCCGAGAGTAAACGTCTGCATACAAGGGAAGAATGCTGAAACTCCGGGCAGATTGGTCAAAAACCTGCCACAGGCACCACCTCGTTACCTGTCAGGTGGGTGTCTCGCATACATCATCGTCATCATCGTGACTCTTAATGGAACTGATGGTTTGGGACTTGTATTCCTGCATCGTTCACCAATTCGACTCCAATGTCATTTAATTAAAGGGGAGGCGTAGAATCAATCCACCGCATATTGACTGAAGCTATCTCCTGGATAAATGACCAAACACAGAAACGTAAACGCAAGTTGCTCTTCATCCGTCCATACGCAACAAGAAAGGGGTGCATAGACTTCTGCACCTGCTCAAACGATGGCAACATTCAGCTTGTGAATGCTGGTGCCTAGGTGACGGCGTTTGTTCGTGTACTTGCTCTTATTCTTCTAGCGTTCCAGGTTACATGCAATGTTAAATTGGTCATTGGGCTTCGAAGAGTGAGAAGCTAATCGTATAACCAGTGTGCCCGTAAAAGGTGCGAATGAGCACGGTAAATATGAAACCCGCGTAAACCGCCCATGGTATAATTGAGTTAACTCCACAGTGGAACAAACTGCAGTTGTGTACTGTAATGTGAATCTTAATCACCATGGCTGCCACGATTCTCACTCACCACAGTTAAATATAATTAGCCGTGATCCGGCCAGGTGGCAGCTCAATGGTCAAGCGAGCGGCTCGCAATCAAAAGGTCGATCATCCCACGGGGACTGTCTGATACAATTAGGACCATTTTTTTTGGGGAAGTCAAAAGTGGTGGATAAACTCACGCCATCGGAAGGTGGAATTTCCAGGGCTGTAAATGAGAGATGAGCACCACCTCAGTGGCTTGACATGATCCTAGCTCACAATTCTTCTTCTCGTACTTTACCATTGTGGTGGCTGTAGAACCATTCATTAGATACACCATACAGTATATGAATCACATTCAATTCTTGCCCACACACAATGTTATACATGTACCCTAATCATGAGAATTTGAATGGAAGTGACCTGGTCTCAGCCAATTACTGAACAAAAAAAACACCATCACATTAAATTCGTTTTTTTGAAATCGGCTAAATTCCAGCTCTTGAGAATTAAAAGCATCCGCAGTTTGAATGTCATTGAACAATCTTACAGTAGAGTGCGTGTATAAGTGTGGACTCAAGCTGTGCGGTGACATTTCTACGTGTGTCGCACACTCTCGTTAAATGTTATCTGGAAGCCACGCAGCGTCTCTTGAGCGCTGCGTGCGACGCTCTAAGCCCAAGGCCTCCATTCACTCCGCAGGTTTCAATGGCGCCCGTCGCCTGCCGAGGCTGAGTGTCCCGCAGGTGGCGATGGGGAAGCTGCAGAGCAAGCCCAGCGTTCGCCCGCACAAGTACAGGTGAGCGCTCAGCGCCTGGGCAACTGGCCGCTGAGAAGCGTTGTTGTGACCCTTCAGTGTGGTGATGGAGCACACGTTGGATGAGACGAAACATGGGAGGTGGAATCAATGAGTGAAGTTCACGGGAACGGTAACCGTGGTTGTCGCGGTGTGTGTGTGTGTGTGGTTGTCACCATGCCGTGTGTGTGCAGGGTCGAGTCTCCGGCATGCGCGCTGGGCGAAGCGTCGGTGCGGCACTTTCCCCGCGTTCACCGCGACGCCGTCGCCTCCCTCACGCTGCTCGGCCCTGCACTCAGCCTCTCGGGCAGCAAGGACTGCGTACGCCACAAAGATCCCCCGTATAGCCTTAACAGATTGCTGGGGCAAGTGCTGTTAGCGAGCACATATAAAGGCCGGCACAGCACATGAGCGACTAGGTGGCCAGCACCGCACCCGGACGCCTTTGTCTCCCCAGTGGCGATGTTTACACACTGCACCAGGTACACATTTGAGGCTGAGTCGACCTAGGGGAAGCCCAGGATGGGTTCAGACATTTGTCACTGGTGTTCACTGTGTGTGGGAATCGAACTCGGGTCGCCAGGTTCTAAGCGCAGCATGCTAACCGCTGTTCCCACTGCTCTCACAATGCACACGCACAGGAAAGCCTCTAATGCAGGCCTGAGAACACTCTCCTTACCAAGGGCCGGATAAGGACTTTTAGAGATCCCTTTGGCGGGCCACTTATCAACACACCTTAGCGTTATTCAATGGCAAGGTGACAATAACGTGCTCTTTTGTTGTGCTGTAGACCGTGGTGGCTCTATGATCGTTGTTGTGATGTAGACCGTGGTGCTCTATGATTGTTGTTATTGTGCTGTAGACCGTGGTGCCCTATGATTGTTGTTGTGCTGTAGACCGTGGTGCTCTATGATTGTTGTGCTGTAGACCGTGGTGCTCTATGATTGTTGTTGTGCTGTAGACCGTGGTGCTCTATGATTGTTGTTGTTGTGCTGTAGACCGTGGTGCTCTTTGATTGTTGTTGTTGTGCTGTAGACCGTGGTGCTCTTTGATTGTTGTTGTTGTGCTGTAGACCGTGGTGCTCTTTGATTGTTGTGATGTAGACCATTGTGCTCTATGATTGTTGTTGTTGTGCTGTAGACCGTGGTGCTCTTTGATTGGGAGAGGGGGGAGCTGTGTGCACGACTGCTCGGCCACACTCGTGATGTCACCAAGGTGAGAGGACACTTGACCCCACATTGCTGCCCACCTGCTGGGTCTGACACCTCCACCGACCTGTACCAGCGTCCGGCCGTATCTCTGCATGTCACGTTGTGTAGGTGGCCTGTGTGCCGGGCGGCACGCACGTGTTCAGCGCGTCCCGAGACCGCACCGCGTGCATGTGGCACCGTGCGCACCCCGCGGACGGCCCCGTCGCCTCCTTCTCCGGCCACGAGCTCGTGCTCACGGGACTCTCCCTCAACCACGGTGACACAGAGACATGCAGACGTAGCGCACAGTGTGGTGGGGGTGGGGGGGGGGGCGGGCGGCATAACAGTGATACACACAGACAGGGAGACACACAGACATCGAAACACAGCACGTGGAGACATGGAATACGGAGAAACAGCACATGGGCGTACGAGTACATGAAACAGGGAGACCAGGCATACGGCACGTGGCCCATCATTGTTTACACAGCGGCCTGCAGAGCGTGTAACCTGAAACAGTTGCGTCGTTGCGAGTGTAGACGGCAGTGTCCTGTGCACGGGTTCCCGTGACAACGCGCTCTGCTTCTGGGACGTGGACACGGGCGTCTGCGTGCGGCGAGCGTCCCTGCCTCGGAACCTGGTGACTCCTCCCAGCCGCCCACTCCACTTCCACACGCACACACAAACGCCTCTCCATCTCTCAACTCCTCCACGCACGCACGCACACACACACGCGCGCCTCTCTCAATCCCCCTGCGTCACTCCAGGGCTAGTGTGAGACATACGCCGGAGGGGGCAGCACTGCCCTCTTCTTCTTAAGCCACACGTCGGCTGTGCCAGGCGGCAGCGTCATCGTCTGTAGTGTTGTTCAGCGCTCTCACGTCTCCATCCAGTCTGCTCAGAGAGTGATCCTCCACCTCGTCCACAACATGCGACTGTGGCCAGACTTAGGCCACAGATACAGGGCGTGTGAGAGGAGCCTGGAAACTGTGAGGTTGAGCGGCAGGGTGGCACAGTTGTAACAGTCGTGCCTCACAAGAAGAAGAGCCTGGGTTCGATTCCCGACTTGAGAACTTTTCTGCGTGGAGTTTGTAGTTCTACCCCTGTCATGCAATGAGTCTCCTCAAGATTCTCCAATTTCCTCCCGTAGCTAAAATCAATACAACGCAACCGGCAATGGCCAACTGTCCCAATGCTGAAAAATTTACCTGGAAATTACTCAGTTGGGTTTACAAACACAGCGGCAACATCGCTCCCTACTGCGAAAACTTGGCAGGACCCTCCTGAAAAAGAGAGTTGAGACTCGGTGAGGGTGTCCTGAGTGAACAAGCTTAGCCGAGGTGTTCATTCGTGACTGGTCTGAGACCATCATCTCACGCCACTCACCGTGTGTGGCTGCCTGGATTAGAGGCCTAAGTTCTCAGGGATGGCGGTGGCTCAGTGCAAGGACGGACGCAGGCCCCCTAAAGTCGCTGGCCCTCCGCTGTGTCTCTGGGTGATGCGGTTGCTTGTGGTGGTTGCGCAGGTGACGGACGTGTGCTGGGTGCCTGGCAGTGCTCTGGTGGCCCAGACATCCGAGGATAAAACTGTGCGGTCAGAGGAGCACCACGACCACACCACCAACACCACCACCACCACTTTCACCACACCACTACCACATCAATCACACCGTCACCACGTAACACACAACACGACTACGTCAACCATGTCAATAATACGGCAATCATACCACCACCGTGTCAAACAACACCACAATAACCACACCAACACTACATCACTCACACCACCGTCACATCGATCGCACTAATACTACATTAGTCATACCACCGCCATGTTAAACGCACCAAAAAACACAACAGCCACCCCCCCCCACCACTTCAACCAAACTACCAAATCACTCACAACAATACTACATTGTCGTGTTGTGGTGTTGCGTCACCTTGTGGTGTTGCGTCACCTTGTGGTGTTGCGTCACCTTGTGGTGTTGTGCTGTGATGTTACGGTGTTGTTGCGCATTGTGTTTCATTGTGTTTGTGGTGCTGTACGGCGGTCACGTTGCAGTGTCGTGTTGTGGCGTTTCATTGTGGCGTTGATGCTGTGCGGTGCTGCCATAGGCTGTGGGATAGCCGCACCGCGCAGGTGTCGGTGCTGTTTCCCCCCAAGTGCCACATCCAGACGAGCTGTGCGGCGTCCCCCGGCGCCACCCAGCTCCTCAGCACCAGCGCCGGGGTCAACGCGGAGGGCTGTGAGGCCACGGTAGGGTGGGGTTGCCACCTAGCCCCTATTCCAATCCACCTCGGCGTTTCAGCACTGTGCAGTGTACTGCAATAAACGTCGACTCAGTGCCAACAGGTCTCGGTACAAAAATTGGTTCCTGCCATCCGAACACAGATGCTAATTCCCGGACTGTCTTTGTCAAAACCAGGCAGGTGGTGACCCTACGATTCAGTGTAGAACCACCGCGAATAATTACAATTGTGACAACCCACCATCGCCACTATAATCTCTTCCGACCACTCACGATCACTGCTGCAACCACCATAACCACCCACATCCACTACTGTAACTCCCGACTATAACACACTACCACTACAAAAATCAACAACCACCCACTACCACAACCCCACCATCATTCCCCACTGCCACCATCACAATCACCACATCCACAAGCCTCCACCACACACCGCCACTTCCACAACTCCGCACTACCCAACATCACCACCCATTATTACCATTTATCACCACCAGCATCTTTGCTGAAAACGTCATCAGCAATATCGATACAGCCGTTTGACAATCCTAGACGAAGGCCTCCCCACTGCCTATTGGTGGGGGTTTTCACTGCTGGCCAGTGCGGGCTGGTAAAGGGTGAGATGGCTCAGGACAGGCTACCTGTCGCTGTTGTTACCTGCGTTCAGGAATTCAGGTCGCAAACTTGAGACATTGGTCCTAGCTCGATGCAAAAAAAAAACTATATCGTAAATATGAAATTCCTTGCCATGCCCCCGTCAAGTACCGCCCTGCCCTGTGGCCGTGTGGGCGTGTGGCCCGCGCCAGCAGCTGTGGGACGGGCGGAAACCGTGCGGTGCTGTGCGGGAGTTCCACGGACACAGCCAGAGCAGCAGCAGCTGCTGCTTCCTGCCCGGGGGCCTCCTGGGCACGGCCTCGCACGACGGCACGGCGCGCGTCTGGGAGCTGCATGCCACAGGCACGGCGAGCCACGTACACACGAGCACGTGCATGCAGGTGCACGATAATGTATGCATGGGCACGTTCGTGTTGCATACAGCGTGTATGTATTCCCTGCTGATGTGCTGTGCAGGCTGCGTGCGTAGCATTGCAGTGTAATGTGTAAGTTCATGCTGTTGGGATTTGTGTACACTGTGTGTAGCGATGCTGTGACTGCGTGGAGAGTGTGTCGTGATGCTTTGTCTGTGTGCAGGGTGTGTGTGACGATGCTTGGTCTGTGTGCAGGGTGTGCGTAACGATGTGGTGTCCTTGTGCAGAGTGTGTGTGGTGATGGTGTGTCTGTTTGCAGGGTGTAACATAGCTGTGTCTGTGTGCAGAGTTAGTGCAGCAATGCTGTGTCTGTACGGAGTGTGTTTAGTGATGCTGTGTCTCTGTGCAGGGTGTGTGTAACGATGCTGTGTCTGTGCAGGGTGTGTGTAACGATGCTGTGTTTGTGTGCAGAGTGTGCGTAGTGATGCTGTGTCTGTGTGCAGGGTGTGTGTAACGATGCTGTGTTTGTGTGCAGTGTGTGTGACGATGCTGTGTCTGTGTGCAGAGTGTGTGACGATGCTGTGTCTGTGTGCAGGATGTGTGTAACGATGCTCTGTTTGTGTGCAGTGTGTGTGACGATGCTGTGTCTGTGTGCAGGGTGTGCGTGACGATGCTGTGTCTGTGTGCAGAGTGTGTGTGCGTAGCGATACTGGGTGGCCCACTCACAGCGATGTGCTCGGGTGGCGATGGGCGCATCCTCTGTGGCGGATTCCACTCGGGCGTGCACGTCTTGGAGCTCATCAGCGGTCACGGCCCCACTGCCCTGCGCACGATGGCACGCTTCTGAAAACGCCACCTGCCCTGACCGCCCCGGCATGCCGCACAGCGCCCGTGCCATCGCAGACCTCTCAGGCAGGCCCCACACATTCAGCGAGTGTATCGAGTCTTAGAGGTCGGAGTGCTTAACCGGCACCGGTGAGATCCTGGGTTTTGAATACAGACGGTCGCCCGTCATTAAACTGAGTTCTCAAATGTAGCGAGGGCTGATGGTCTCTGCCCAAACATCAATGGTTTCACACAAAAAAATATCACGTTAAATTAGATTCTGAACTTTATTTGGCTAAATTCCAGCTGTGGGAATTAACGGTATTGGTTGACTGTCGTGTGATGAACATTACAGGCAGAGACAGAATAGGTGAGAAAGCGATACTCCTTATTGTGTTGACGAGAGGTTTGTGAAGTGGTCTCAGATGTAGGATTGCACTGCACTGAGAGATATCCGAATGTATACATCGTCTCAGAAGAATGGAGGCTGGGTCTCCACAAATTGTCTGTAGGGTTCAACAATGCAGTTATGATTATTTTTTATAACTTATTTTTGTTTAACATGAGCTCTAAAAGCAATTCTCCCACATTCCCCTAGTAATATTCGACGTGCAGGGTTAAAATGGCAGTAATGTCTAAGGTCTGAAGATATTTGTAAATTTGTACTATTTATTTCAGACCAACACGGTTGGTCTTTGGATCACATCAAGGATTTATTTTAACACCCTGGGGAGGGGTTGATGATTAAACCCGGGACAGAGTGGTTTTTAGAACCAGGATGAGGTCTAGTTGCAGGAGAGGGTCTGGTTTGTGGTTCTATAACTTAACTATTTTGTATTCTACCAGGCAAGGCCCTCTGAGCGATGTGGCTCTTTTTCAGAAGCGATCTAGCCACAAATGATAGCTCACCGAAGTGGCTCATCGCGTGGAAATTTACAGCAGTCAAATACTCTTAAACGCGTGCTTCTAAATGTGGAGGCAAAGACCGGAGGACCCGGATAGAAATCCACGCGACCACGGGGAGAGAGACACGCAGACTCCAAATATACAGCAGCAGCAGGCGTCAGGGTCGGGATCGAACCCACGACCTCCTGTGTACCGGGCGAGGTAGTTAACATCTCCTAGCCACTGTGGTGCCCCCACGGTGACTCGGAGATGTTCGGCTCTCCTTTGAGTGGAGCCCCGTGACCGAGGGCCGTGTGGACACGTCCCGAGCCCGGCCACACTCTCCACGCGTGGAGGTCGCGTTTGCCTTCGTGGTTGCCGCGCTCACTTGAATATTTAAGCGTCACCTTTAACAAATGAGATGGAAACTCAGGTCCGCAGTAACATTTCAGGTTTTTTAAAAGATACAAACTCCCGAGTCTCTAATAATATAATAGATTTTTAACTGTTGCACGTAACTTGAAGCGACCGTTGTTGCGTTCTGAAGGATGTGACTATAAAGCTGCCTGGAGCTTTCTGTCCCGAGCATATATTCACCTGCAAAGCACTGCACTGAAGCCCTGGTGCTCTGCCGACTGAAAAGGCACTGATTGTGTTTGTAACGTTATTGGTAACCACGGATCTTAATGTTTGTAACGTTATTGATAACCACTGCAAGGAGTGGTCGCGGAATACATATCTGAGTCCAGTCAAATGCCCTCCCTGAAGTTTTCAATCCAGGGCACAGCCTTCCAATCCCTGAAAAAGCTGCCCCCTTTACAAGAGTTCCCAGACAATCCATCGTCCGGTCACCCGTTAAATGATCAATACACTCCGCATGTATTGATCACTTCGTAATTGACAGGCTGTTCTCATTATTATTATATTCTCTACCACTGCTAACAACAGCAGTGAGTGATATCTGAACAGGTCCTGGGCTCCGTCACTGTTCCCCATGAAACCTTTTCTTAAAAATAATCATCAGCCACAACATGCACACTTTAAAACTACGTCTCAATGCATTCTCCAAGCCCTGTTGGTACAGGTCCGCTATGCAATACACCAGCAATAAGACACCGGGCGATCATCTTCTCCTGCAGTGGAGAAGGAAGCGGTGCAGCACGTGGTGCACCTTCACAACCGCCAACACTCGAGCCACCCAGCAGGGCCTTCCACCGGCTCCGCTTGGGGCTCACAAATCGCGTCGTCAACAATGTGCTCTGCACATGGCAGAGAGACGAAACGGCCGATTCACTCGGGAAAACGGCCGATATCATCAGGTCAAGGAGGGCTATTGGCCATACCTCACCACGCTGGCCGGCGCGTGTTTGTGTACATGCGTGCGTACGTACGTTCAACTTCTTTTAGCCAACCGTGCTAATATTTACACGGTAAATAAATGGTGAAGGTTGCCGGGAGCTTAGAAGTACTTATGACAACCTGGTTTATGTGCACCCATCCAAGCACTGTCCAGGCTTTAGACCTGCTTAGCTTTCGAGATCTTAATGAGATTGGCCACGTTTCGGGAGATTTGGACACCGGGACGTGTCACCTTTTACATACCCCGATCGCTTAGCGCGACTCCCTCATGGAGCGCGTGAGCTCGCCCGCGTGTGAACACAGAATCGCGTCGTGCGGGAACAGATCTACACTCGATATGCATCTTAGAGAAATGTGTGGAGTGTGCAGTGTACAAGGAGACGTAATTTGGAGATTGTTGCGGTTCAGATTACGCGGAAATCCACTTGGAACGTAGCATAACCCGATAATGCAGTTAAATGTACAACAGCGCATTTATATTTCACAGCCTCTATGAAAGTGCTTGCACGTGAACACGTCTAAGATGTGAATGCTGTCACTGCAACGGGCATTGAACAGCACCTGTGACATCACGTGTGTCCCCCTTGTTGCACTCTAGATTGCGTTTTATGATGCAATATTCTGAATGGTCTATTAAGTTAGCCATTTACGAATTAAGCGTGTAGTTTGCAAACAAATATCTGGAACAAAACTACTGTCCACTGCATTTAACTGTGTCTCAGCATTTCAATGACCGTGTGCGAACATTCGCATTGTGCCTGTTGAGTATGTTACACATCACGCAAAAACACAGAACACGGTAATAAATCGTTCTCGCGGTCGATCCATTCACACCAAACTACCTTCCAATGGAAGCGGCAACTCTCACCGCTCGCAAGCCTGGCGGGCAGCTGCTATATGAGCAAAGATTCCTAGCAGCTTTAAACGACGTACAGCCGGAACATTCGGCCACGCGTTCCGGAGAAAACAGACCTCGTGAAGTAAACAGTGCAGAGCCGAAACACGCGTTAGATAGAACGCGATAGAACGCGCGTTAGATAGATCATGGGTCAGATATAACGCATGATAGATAGGACACGCGTTAGATAGAACACGCGTTAGATAGAACACGGGTTAGATAGAACACGCGTTAGATAGAACACGGCTTAGATAGAACGCACGATAGAACACGCGATAGATATAACGTGGGTCAGATATAACTCATGATAGATAGGACACGCGTTTGAGAGAACACGCGTTTGAAAGAACACGGGTTAGATAGAACACGCGTTAGATAGAACACGGCTTAGATAGAACGCACGATAGGACACGTGTTCGATAGAACACGCGATAGATATAACATGGGTCAGATATAACTCATGATATATCGAACACGCGTTTGAGAGAACACGCGTTTGAAAGAACACGGGTTAGATAGAACACGCGTTAGATAGAACACGCGTTAGGCCAGATTTTCTGTCCAGTAATTTTTTTTAATGGTGCCCCATTGGAAAGCGGATTCTCCAGCAGTCCTTGAACGATACGCTTTGTTCTTTATTGTGAGTTATTGCACAAAAATCAGAGCCCGCTGGGCATGTTATCAACTGTTCATGTTGAAATTGATCAGGTGTGTATGCTGTGCTCAGTACGTCGGTGTATAGGTAGGAATGTTGGTAAATCAATTCCCTTACCGTAAATGATGAGAAACTCATCAGACAGTGTGTGCAGGCTGCAAACAAAAGCAACAAAATACGCACGCAAGTAGAGTAAACGACAACAGCAGGTTCGATTGTAACCAAAGGATCGGTCCTTCCATCATGCCTCGCATGACACATCTACCATTCTGCATGTCTCACGCGCACACACACACACACAGGGTCGCGAGTTGTCTTTAAACAAGGATTGGTGCATTGTCTAGAGACCCGCTCAGTCAGTCGACTGAACGGAGGACTCCATCAGAGACTGCTCTCTTGAAATCGAGACCTCATCAGAGATCGTGCTGTCGCTCTCTTGAATAGAGATCGAATCAGAGGGCGGTCTGTCAGTCCATTGTCGAGAGACCCCCCCCCCGGACCAGGAATCTGATGGACACACACACAAACAAAACAAAATCGCAACCTGCATTTTTTTTTTAATTGTGCCAAACACCGGACGTTTGAAATAAATATATTAACAGACTCGTGAAATTGACGGGTATGTAAGTGATTGTTTACACCTGGACCTTATCACTGGTCAATTTAATATCAAAATCACTGTTTTAACCAAAATTATTTAAAACATTTCAGAGAGAGAGAGTAGGCTCCGTAATGTGCTGTGTGCTGTTTTGCAAACGTTTATTCGTTGAAGCAATCAACTTTCGTCTTCGAATAAATTTCGTTTGGTTTAATCTTTTGTCTCGCGAGTGTAGACGCTCCTAACGAATGTGTGGTTCGGGGTTCGTGTGGTGAGTGTAGCGAGGCGAGCTGGCTCGGGTTTGATGTGTGTGGCTAGTGCGTGCATGGGGTCGTATGAGTCTATTTGGGTTAAGTGGATGAATGTGGTTGGGAAAGTTGTGGTGAGTGTAGGGTGGGTGATTAGGATAGCTGGGTGGATAGAGTGAGTGTGGTTATGGTAGTTGGGTGGTTCTGGTTCGTGTGTTGTTAGTGTAGGTGAGTGTGGTTAGGGTAACTGGGTGGTTGTGTGGATGAGTGGTTAGGGTAGCTGGGTGGTTTTGTTTAACCATAATTTCACCTTGTAACGCCCTTGCTGAAGTGTTCGCTCACTCTCCGAAGATAATTTTACTGTGTTACAACATTTTTAAACAAAACTATTTTATATTCTACCAGGTAAGGCCCCACTGAGCTATGTAGCTCTTTTTCAGAAGCGACCTGGCCACAAATGATAGCTCAGCGAAGCGGCTCATCACGTGGACATTTTTAGCAGCCAAATAATCTAAGCGTGTGATGTTGATTCTAAACGCGACTACGAGGAGAGAGACACGCAAACTCCAAATATGCAGCAGGCGTCAGGGTCGGGATCGCACCCACGACCTCCTGTATACCAGGCGAGGTAGTTAACATCTAGCCACCGTGATGATGATGAGAGAGAGACACCGCAAACTCCAAATACAGCAGCAGGCGTCAGGGTCGGGATCGAACCCACGACCTCCTGCATACCAGGCGAGGTAGTTAACATCTCCTAGCCACCGCACTGAAGAGTGCCGACATCAAGACGAGGCTTCCCGTCTCTTATTCACTACAAATGATTTGCTGCTGCAGTGTTGGCGGGCAGTGGTGCAAAGGCAAAAATTAACAATAGCTAAAAACATAAGCCGACGCATTCGTCAATAATACGGTGGCCTTAAAAATATATCAGGCGACGTTTCGGCGCAACGGGCCCTTCATAGCCAGTCAAGGGGCCACGTGAGTAAAATAACAAATCCCGTCGACTTTTCCCTCGAGGTCATCAGGGCCCGAGGGGGGTCGACGATGCATCGTGCATGCCGCCGCGTCATAATGACGGCGTCACGTGACATGGCGACAGCCCGCACGTCCGGTTGGCTTTGGTTGGCGACGGACGGTGCGAAAGAAGTTCGACGTCACACAAAACGCACGAGAAGACGGCAGCGTCGCACTGGCCGCTGCCTTCGTCCGAGACGCTTCAGGAGCTCGATGCCGATGTTAGCTGCTGCTGCTGCTTGCTGCTGCTGTTTGCTGCTGCTTGCTGCTGCTGCTTGCTGCTTGCTGCTGCTGCTTGCTGCTG